ATAAGAACACTCACCGAGCTGCAACAACAACTCAATAACCAACACAAAGAAACCACAAAAAGCCTCCAGGATCTGGAAAAAGAAATGGACACAATGAAGAAAAGGTTAACCGAACTCCTGGAAATGAAAAATCAATTCAGGGAACTACAAAAAACAGTGGAAAGTCTCAAGAACAGGGTAGATCAAACAGAAGAAAGAATCTCAGAGATTGAAGATAACACCCTCCAACTAAATAAAACCGTCACAGAGAAAGAGCAGAGAAACAAGAGAAAAGAGCAAAGCCTACAAGAGATGTGGGATTATGTGAAGAAACCTAATGTGAGGGTCATAGGGTTACCAGAAGGGGAAGAAGACAAGACTCAAGGGTTGGACAAGCTATTTGAAGATATACTAGAGGAAAATTTCCCAAGCCTTGCTCAAAATCTCAATATACAAGTTCAAGAAGCTCAGAGGACCCCTGGGAGATTCAATACAAACAGGAAGATATCACGACATGCAGCCATCAGACTGACCAAAATATCAACTAAAGAGGCCCTTCTAAGAGCTGTAAGACAAAAGAAGCAAGTGACATACAAGGGAAAGCCAATTCGAATAACACCAGATTTCTCTAATCAGACTTTACAAGCAAGGAGAGACTGGGGCTCCATTCTCACTCTTCTGAAGCAAAACAATGCCCAGCCTAGAATCTTATTCCCTGAAAAACTAAGCTTCATATATGAAGGAGAAATAAAAACATTCTCAGACAAGCAAAGGCTCAGAGAATTCACCAAGACAAGACCAGCCCTACAAGAAGTACTCAAAACAGTGTTACGCATGGAACACCATAATAAAAACTCACGAATATAAAAATAACCAAAACCCAAAGGCCAGATAATACAATGGCTCAAGACAGAAATCAAAGCAACAACATCCAACCCAACAGAATGAACAATAATCTACCTTTCCTATCAGTTCTCTCAATAAATGTGAATAGCTTAAACTCTCCACTCAAGAGACACAGGCTGGCTGAATGGAAAAGAAAATACAGGCCAAGTATATGCTGTCTTCAGGAAACACATCTAACCTGCAAGGATGCATATAGACTAAAAGTAAAAGGGTGGAGATCAGTATTCCAGGCAAGTGGAAGCCAAAAGAAGGCTGGCTTGGCAGTTCTAATTTCAGACGATTTAGTTTTTAAAGCAACAAAAGTAGTGAAAGACAAAGAGGGTCATTATATAATGGTGAAGGGCACACTTCAACAAGAAGAGATAACAATTTTAAATATATATGCACCCAACTTAGGTGCACTCAGTTTCATAAAGCAAACCTTATTGGATCTAAGCAAATGGATTAAGAGCAACTCCATAATCATCAGAGATTTCAACACCCTACTGACGGCACAAGACAGATCCTCCAAACAGAAAATTAATAAAGAAATAATGGACTTAAACAAAACTCTGGAAGAATTGGGTCTGACTGACATTTACAGGACATTCTACCCAAAATCCACTGGAATATACGTGTATCTCCTCGTATATACATATATAATGAGTGAGATGTGCACCATCTGGGGGATGATCATGCTGGAGACTCAGACTTGTGGGGGAAGTGGGGGAATGGGAATTTATTGAATCCTTAAAATCTGTACCCCCATAATATGTCGAAATAAAAAAAAAAATATTCAAACCAAAGCAACTGTCAATTATACCTCAATAAGAATTCCCAATTCTGCTAAATCATTTCAGTGGGAAAAAAGTATTTAACATTGTAATTAGATTTTGAATATTATGGGATAGAATGTACAAATAAGCTTTTGTCCAAATCATAATTAGTTCCTCTATCCTTTCTTCCTACCGGTCTAGGCATCTATAAAACTCAGCTTGACTTTTAAAAAATTGCAGAATGGACATGCAAATTGGCAGATATTCCTCATGAAACTTTCTTGTGGGTATACCTAAAAACTTTTGCATTGGCTTCTCTCGTTCTTGAGGAAATCAACACGTCTATGGCTACTGTTTCAACAACTGTTGTGATGGTCAACCAAGGGTATGAAGTGACAAAAGATGTAGGATCCAGAAGGAGCACTTGTGAGCTGATATAAACTCCAGTGAAATTTCCTATGGGAATTCATTTTGACCACATCCGAGCCAGGTAATATACACACTTTAGGAGACTGAATACTTTATTAACCTGAAAACTCTGTGTATAGCCACCTGGACAGGAGAGGTTACAGAGGGGAAGGCTGGCTTAAAGAGACACCAGGAGGTGACCTAAGACTATCCAAATGCCCCCTGCAGCTGGCCTGTCCCCTGCTGCCCTCCTATTCCTCTCCAGCCTTGGGTCCCTGCTGGAGCTGGTTTTAGGGCAGCAGGACGGTACCATGAGCCCCCCAGAAACTCCATGAAGGGTACAAAATCCTTTGTAACCAGACACAAATTCCCAACTCCTGTTAACAAAAGACCAAGAGGTTTGCAAAAGAAAAAAGGAAAGCTTTATTTTCCATTTTTAAAAAAATCTGCAGACTGGGGAGACCCAGCCTCCAGCGTAAAACAAAAGCCAGCTCTAGGGAAACAGAAAGGTATCTGGCTTAATAGGAAAAGTTCCTGCCCTAGCCCTCAATCAGGTCTACATATGCAAATGAAGGATTTAAACTCATTCAGACCTGATTGATTGAAAATAACTGAGCCCCAAGTGGATAGTTTTTAAGCCCCAAACCAGAGGTCTCCGTTGGATGTCCCTTTCAGGCAGTGGTGGGCGGAGTTTTCAGGCCACAGGGTCTCAGCTCTGGTTTCAGGAACCATCTTAGTTATGAGGAACAGAGAAGACATTTGTCTGGAGCTGCTCTTACTGGGAACAAAGGGTGTGTGATTATTCTTATTTCACCCTACGTTGTAAAGGGCACAAGGTCAAACATAACCAGGTCCCCACATGTTTAGGTCTTTCCACAAGGCCAGACTTTTGCTGATGCATATTCAATCATAAAAGCCACAAGTTCCCAAGGAGGCAACTGTCCTTAGTACTGCCCGTTCACTCGGCAGTGAGCCGTGGGTACACGGGCTCCAGCCATTCCATGAGTCAGTCAATATTGCAAACCACACATAGCAATATACTCAATCAACACGTCATAGACTAAAATTTCCACAAAGTAACATTTAGCGTCAAGAGAAAAGGGGATAGGAAAGGGGTTAAGGAACCAGTCCGAGAAGTGCAACATGGACAGGCATAATGCCCTGGTCTGTTCCAGACAGTTCTCACAGCAGAGTCCTTTATTTGGGCAGAGCTTTCAGCAGCAGGGGCTGGGTGCAGATCTTGAGTGACAGCAAGATGGTGCCTGTGGAGACAGCTGAATCCAACTAGTGACGTTCTGTTGTTTTTACGCTCCTTGAGAACGTTGGTGAGGGCCAACAGCAAAGGGCTATGCCTCTACCTGGTCAGGTGTAATCTCTGAACATCTCATCCCTGTTGGCATGACACTTTTTGAAATGGTAAGGTGGGATATTTGTCTAAGATGGAGTTACTTATGTCAAGGGTGCTCCTCTATGACCCTCCATGGCTGCTGGGCTCTCACTATTTTAATTTGCACAGCTCTGTCAGCCACAGGCAGTCCGTCTTGTCTGGAGAGCTTGGGGTCTTATCTGCAGTTTCATTTCACACTCCCACTTGCATGAAGACCCAATGCCATGGAATGAGTCCCAATACTCTTGCCAGAAACAGGCTCAGACAGTTAGTTATCTTCAGAGCCTAAACTCTGACCTCAAGTGCTAAGAAGTAAATCCTAATTCCCCCTCCAAGCGAAAAAAGTCCCCATTTTAGGCTCCAAAGACAGTGCTATCTTCCTTCTCCTAAGGTTTCTTCCATGTGCCTCACAACCAAAGGGCCCAAGACCAGACCTGATGTTAAAAGAACTGTGATCTGGCCTTGGACACTTCTAGTCTCCCAGTTTTCAGTAGAGAAAGTTGCAAAGAACCCCTCCTTGGGTCACCAGGATCCTTTCTCTTGGGTGTGGATGGCTTTGCAGAAGGCCCCCCTCAAAACCCCTGGACTCCAACCCCCATCACACTCTGGCTGCCAAACCCTCGGTGCCTGCAGCTCCTGGCCTTATGGAAATCTGATGGGATAGAGTGCAAGCATGATGGTGGGCATGCTCTGCCCAGCGCATTTATGGGAAATGTATAAGTTGGTGTGATGCCATTTCCTCAAAATGTTCTTGGCCTCCAAGAGGAAATGGTAGGACAAATGGGTGCACCCTGGAGTAAGTTTGGCCTGCCACAAGCTCAACAGCCCCAGTGGAAGGTGCGTGCTGCAACTGAGAGCATAGGGACTCTCCATATCCTTGAAAAAACAAGACCTGCTGCTATGACTAAAGGGAGGGCACCTGCTGCTGTCTGGGACTCAGGTACATTGGAACTTGGTCCTGGAAGACCAGCTTCTCTTGGTAATTCTGAGGCTGCAGAGGCTGAAGATAACATCCCCAACCATTCTGCAGCTGTCCTTGAAATAGTGGATACTGACAATGGGCCTTTGCCTCCTCCTGCTACACACTACATAGCACAGAAGGAAGGGATTTGCAGGCTGGCCTTCCCCTAGCTCAGGATTGTCCCTCTCAAAATACTGCATAGAAGATGTAGGAAGACGAAGAAAGGTTTCTGATCCATAGCTGGGAGACAGATCACTTCCTGTGTCCCGTAGATATCAAAATCACAGCATGGTTTCATAGATGGGGCTAGAGTCACCTGAGCCATTCTGCTCAGTGGGAATCTGCTGCATCCCCAGACAAGAACAGCCAGCTCTACCCAGTAGAACCTCCTGGGCAGGACCAGAGGCCTGCTCAATGTTGTGGTTGGGATGTTCCACCTGACTTTCCTGGGGGCTTCTAAGTGGGACACTTTCGATGGGGTATCCATCCATTTTCCAGATAGCAAATATTCTGCGTCTCTCTCTAAGTGGTAGTCTGGCTCTTTTGCTTTGAAACCAGTTCTAAAAAGAAAAAAAAAAAAAAAACATCAAATGTGCTTTTTTAGTTACATTGTATTATATAAATGTATTATACAATATAAGAGAATTTTACAGTTAAGCTTAGACTCAGCATTATCACTGACTTGTTTCCTGACCTTGAATAAGACATAAATAATGAAGGCAATCCTTCCTGGGGCTGCACGTTATGAAGGTCATGAATTGTGCACAATTCCAAAGTCTCAACTATTTTCACCATCTGCAGTGGCCCTTCTGTACACGCAAACCCAGGCCTTTCAAAATATCCCTCTGCATTTAGATAGAACAGCCCTCTGCATTTAGATAGAACAGACCCTCAGCTGTTTGCAGCCCTCTGCATTTAGATAGAACAGACCCTCAGCTGTTCCCTAAACACATTCCCACAACTTTATTTTACTCAAGCTTCCCCATCAGGATACATTTATGAATTTAGAATATACTGAATCATGTTCTTAAATTGATTGTACTCAAAGGCTACACATAGAACAAGGAGTTTTTAATAACTTGGACAGTATTTTATATGTAACCTGAAGCATTTAACACCTCTAGTCTTCATTTTTTTCTTTTCCATAAAATGAAGATAATTAGACATGCCAACCATAATCCCCAGGGCTTTGGAGGAGGTGTAGATGATAAATGCTGCGTTAGACTATCCATCCTAAAGAGCTCGGGTTGTGGTAGGGCAGTTAGAGTCACGTAGCACAGGCACGAGGGTCTGGGGACCTTTGGATCTTTGCTCCCTCCAGGAATCCCCCCATCTCCCAAGTTCAGAATTGCTTTAGGTTAGTAGCACGTAAGCTAGAAGGATTTCTCACCCACACCTGTGATGACTGCTTAAAAAAAAACATTGTGACTGTGTACAATGAAACTGGCACCTCCAGACACACTTATTTTCTCATCCCAACACCGCTACAACATAGATAACTATACGTGTTTTTCAGAAAGGTGAGGTGCAAGAGTCAACCTACCAGAGGTTACAGAGCCAATTAGGAGGTAGATTTCATGAGGACCCAACCAAAATATAAGAGAGCTCACTGTCTCATGTCCCAGCCTGCTGTGGCCCTGCCCTCAAACATTCTTACTTCCAGGCCACATTCTGGGCACTTTCTCTATGCACATGTAGCCCACGTCAATTCAGTGCAATTTGATCAGCCATAATCGACTCACTTCCTTCTAGGAATCTATCCCTCTGATGGGTATAGAGAATAAAAAATGCTTAAAAAGCAGTTTGACCTTGAGCAACCCATATTATATTCGCTTGAAATTATTCATCTGTATTTCCCTTGACATGTTTCCAGTTCATAAAAAGAACTTCACGGCCAGGCGCGGTGGCTCATGCCTGTAATCCTAGCACTCTGGGAGGGGGAGGCAGGTGGATTGCTTGAGGTCACGAGTTAAAAACCAACCTGAACAAAGCGAGACCCCGTCTCTACTATAAAGAGAAAGAAATTAATTGTCCAACTAAAAATATAGAAAAAAAAATTAGCCGGCCATGGTGGTGCATGCCTGTAGTCCCAGCTACTCAGGAGGCTGAGGCAGGAGGATTGCTTGAGCCCAGGAGTTTGAGGCTCCTGTCAGCTAGGCTGATGCCACGGCACTCACTCTAGCCTGGGCAACAAAGCCAGATTCTGTCTCAAAAAAAAAAAAAACAAACAAACAAAAAAAAAAACAACTTGATGACTTATGTAGTATTTGCCTATATTTTTCTTTTATTCTCCAAAGCTACTCTTACATTCCCTTTCTTATTTCCACTAAGACAATTTGCTCCTATTCTTAATCAATATATTCAATGATCAATGGATAAAGAGGTAACAAAATCTTACCTAAATGTGTATATAATAAAATAGCATATATTCTAATACTGGAAAGTTTCATGCAGTTTTAACATTTTAATAAATCACACCAGAGATTCCCCCAAACAAATTGGTTCATGCAACACATGCCTATGAAGCAACTTCTAATGCAGGGGGGTGCTGTGCCACATCCTGACACCGTCAAGCCAACTTTTCTCCTGCACTTTAGTCTCGTATGTCTAATTTTTCACTTATTGTTTCCCCTTGGAGGTTTAGTTAGCATGCCAAATTTAATGTGTCCAGAGTAAAACCCCAGATGTCTCTGACAGAAAACCGCTCTTCTCCTAAGCCTCCCTATGTCCAGGGAGGGACAACTCCAGTCTTCCATTTGCTCAAGCCAAAACTTTGGAACCATCCTTATTTCTGCCTGCTCTCACAGCATGCCCAATATATCTCAAACTACCAGCAGTTCCACCTTTAAAAGATTAAGTCTTCCCAGTTCCCTATGATTCCACAACAGCCAGCACTCTGGTCAAAACCTTCACCATCCCTATCCTGGATAATACAATAGCTTGACTTGACTCTGCTCCCAAACTCACAAGTCTATTTTTCCAGAAGATGTATGCATACTGAATTCACACCCACATTGAGACGGAACAATTGACAAAACATCACTTTGTCCTATGTGATGAAATGCTATTAAACTTTTTCATAATTCTTTACATTTTCCATTTCATCTATAAAAAGTTACATTGATGCAAAGCTTTGAATATTTAACTCACCTCAATTACAGGCAAGTAACAATGGAGTTCTTTGGACAATATTTCCCTGGTTGTAAAATCAGGGTAAGGATTTTCTTCAAATGACTTCTCAAGTATATGCAGGTCATCTGGAGTAAATTTATGTCGTGGTCTTTTAATTCCTTTATTCTTTTTTATGTTTATTTCTTTAGGACTATCTTTAACTGGAGATCCTGGAAAATGTACAAATGAAAAGAAAAATCACTGTGGAATGTTAGTTTCAAGAGGGGGGAAGAAGACCATTCATTGGCTAACCATTTATAAAACAAGACTTTTTAAAAAAGTGGAGCCCAACCTCATACCTATTTGTGATAACAAAATTACTAATGGATTAAGGCCTATCTTTAAAATGATGAGGAGAAAAATGAAATCATTTATGTCCTCCAGAGTAGGGAAGAACTTTTTGTCTAACAAAAATCATACACTATAAAGGAAAAAGACTGATGAAAAATCCTCAGCCACATTTGTAATTGAGCTCATACAAATAAACCAGCTCACCAATCTGATAAACTAACAATTTAAATGTATGGAGGTAGGGCAGGAGAGGAATGGGAAGGATTAAAGAGAATAGGAAATCAGTATCAGGGCTGGTACAAGGATCAGTTCTTAGAACCACTTTGGTTTTTGCTGTGTTCTTGATTACACATAGCAATCAAAGGGCACTTGAAGGTTTTGTAGCCAATTTACACATCCTTTCCCCAACCCTGCTCTACTGAGGTGCAGTCTAAAGTGGGAGCAGCCCATCGTCCCAATGTGTGACTATTTCCTTGGTTTAGGAGAAGCAGAACAGAAGAATTTCTTCGTAAATTTCTGTGTAGGTATGTTCTAAGCTATCTAGAGACTAGCATAAGTTCTGGCACAAGCAATTCCTCTCTTTTTCCTAACTCAGAATTTGGGTGGAAAAAGCTTGAAAATACCACAAGCCAAATTAACAATTCTCAGATGACCTGGGACAAAAAATACAATCCAGGCCAGGAACAGTGGCTCACACCTATAATCCTAGCACTCTGGGAGGCCGTGGCGGGCAGGATTGCTCAAGGTCAGGAGTTGGAAACCAGCCTGAGCAAGAGTGAGACCCCCGTCTCTACCATAAATAGAAAGAAATTAATTGGCCAACTAAAGATATATAGAAAAACTTAGCTGGGCATGGTGGCACATGCCTGCTGTCCCAGCTACTCAGGAGGCTGAGGCAGCAGGATTGCTTGGGCCCAGGAGTTTGAGGTTGCTGTGAGCTAGGCTGCCTGTAGCCCAGGCAACAAAGTGGGACTCTGTCTCAAAATAAAAACAAAATTTAAAAAATTTAAAAAGAAACAAATTAATTGGCAAACTAAAAATTTTTAGAAAAAATTAGCTGGGCATGGTGGGTGACATGCCTGTAGTCCCAGCTACTCCAGAGGCTGAGGCATGAGGAACAATTGAACCTAGGAGTTTGAGGTTGCTGTGAGCTAAGCTGATGCCATGAGCAACAGAGTGAGGTAAATTAGGGGAGTTTCTCTGGGAAATTAAGACAACCAAAAAATGTATACTGGAAAAAGCTGTATACATTCCTAGAGCAAGATGGATACTCTAGAAAAAGACCTGAGAAGACCCTAAGCTTTCACTTGGGCTAATTACTACACACAGTGCAAATCTGCCTAAAAGTTGGAGCAGGGCCCAGACATAAGATCAATTTGCAAAGACTGAGACAAATCATGACATTCAAGGAAATATCCATCAAAACATTAACTGAACACAGGCAAAATAAGAGACATCAGTGACCATATGGACAAGGAATATAGTATTCGCAATAATAGTTCAGGGAACTCACAAAACAGACTACTACAGACTTCAACGACCATAATAAAAAATGGCAAATCATACAGTAGGGGAAGAATCTGATTTCCAATGTTGCCATATAATCAAATGTCCAGTTTCCTACCAAGAAACAGACATACAAAGAGATAGAAAAGTAGCACTCTGGGAGGCTGAGGCAGGAGGATCGCTTTAGCTCAGGAGTTCAAGACCAGCCTGAGCAAAATCGAAACCCCCCATCTCTACCAAATCTAGAAAATTTAGCCGGTGTGGTAGCTGTAGTCCCACCTACTTGGGAGGCTGAGGCAGGAGGATCGCTTGAGCCCAGGAATTTGAGGTTGCATTGAGCTATAATGATGCCACTGCATTCTGCCTGGGGCACCAGAGCAGGACTCTGTCTCCAAAAAAATAATAATAATGATGATCCAAGAAGAAAAAGAAAATCCCATTTATGAAGGCATCAAAAACAATATTTAGTGCTCGCTTCAGCAGCACGTATACTAAAATTGGAATGATACAGAGAAGATTAGCTTGGCCCCTGCGCAAGGATGACACGCAAATTCATGAAGCATTCAAAAAACAGAGAGAGAGAAAAAAGAATATCTAGGAATAAACCTAACCACAGAGGTGAAAGATGTGTACACTGAAAACTATAGAAATATTTTCAAAGAAATTGAAGATATAAATGAATGATATCCTCTGTTCATGGATTGAAAGAATATTAAAATGTCCATACTACCAAAGTGATATATAGCTTCAATATAATCCCTATCTTTAAAAATCCCAATGGAATATTTCCCAGAAATAGCAAACTTCATCCTAAAATTTATACAGAATCTCAAGGTAACCTATAGCCAAAACAATCTTAAAAATAGAACAGAGCTGAAGGTCTCACACTTCCTGATTTCAAAACTTAGTACAAAGCTACAATAAAGCAGTATAGTACTAGCATAAAGACATATACAGATCAGTGAGATAGAATAGAGAGCTCAGAAATTAATCCTCACACACATGGTCAAATGAATTTTTTTTTTTTACAAGTATGTCAAGGCCATTCAATGGGGAAAGGACAGTCTTTTCAACAAATGATGCTAGGAAAATTGGATATCCATGTGCAAAAATAATCAAGTTGGACCCTAATCTTGCACCATACATAAAATTTAACTCAAAATGGTTCAAAAATCCAAAGTAAGAGATAAAAATATAAAACTGCTAAGAAAGCATAGAGAGAAAGCTACACGACATTGGATTTGGCAATTATTTCTTTGATAGACAATTATTTCTGGCACATCAAAAATCACAGGCAACAAAAGAATAACTAGGACTACATAAAAAATTTGAAACTTCCGTGCATTAAATGACACAATGAACAGTGTGCAAAGGCAACCTATGGGAGGAGGATCAAGATGGCGGATGAGAAACACCGCCAGAAAGAGTGTCTCTGCAGAAAAGACAGATTCTAGCAGAAATTAGAAAAAAGAAGCAAGAAGGCGAGCATACAGCAGACGAGGGCCGGAAGGAGGGTTATCTGAGACCCCGGGAGACTCCATGGGAGGAGGCTACGGAGGAGAACTAGAAGCTGAGACCACGGGAGCAGCCCGGAGACCAGCGGGAAGGGTAGGTGGATAAATCACCTTTCCCCTCCCCTGCATTTGGGACTGCTGCTGGGCTCCCCAGCGGGTGGAGAGACCTGCGGACACCAGCCCAGAGACGGCCGCCGCCAGCTAGCGGTGAGCCTGTAGCGGACACGGCACCAGACTCCCAAATCCCTCAGGGCACCTCCGTGTGCACAGACCCGAGCCGCGAGGCAGGCGCCATATTGCCTCCTTCTACCCTCGCCGACCCTACCTGCGGCTACCCAGAAAGACAATACAGCCACAAGCCGGAGGCACCTCCAGGGAACGGGACCTTCCCTTTTGGGAACCTACAGCTGACTAAGGAGAACTCAGATGTGAGCGTCCCTTACCCGCAGCCTCCCAGGTGCTGCTGGCACAGTGTTCCCAGGAGAACGGTGCCGACTCAGAGGCTGAGAGACACAGACACAGCTTGGGCTCCCTGTGGGTGAGTTGGGACGGGAACTCCTCTCCCTGGTGGGGATACAGTTTGAACTTTGAGACCCAGAGGTCGGACCTGCAGACCAGATCCCGTGCACCGGAGGTCTAGCATTCCCGGGCACAGAAGGGATATTTGAACAGCCCGCTGAGGTGTGTGTGCCTTCGGGGCAGAATCAGCTCCTAGGAGCAACCCTCCCACCAAAGGGAGGCTGTGTGCCCAGCCCAGGCAGCGTTTCTGTGCAGGGAATACTCCCGCTGGCATCACAATCCAGGGACCTGGTGTGCGTGTGGTCTGGCTGCTGGCGGAGGCCCAGAGTAGCTGGGGAGTTGGGGAGGGTGGAAAGAAGCGAGGCCTGCTCCAGACTGAGGGTCTCAGACAGCCCCACCCCCACAAGCAGACTTTCTGGCTGAGCGGGACCATTCCAGCCCCGCCCTGACAGCTTTTCCTGGAAGCTAGAAGCAGAGAACAGAACTTTGACCCCTGCTAACTGCCTGAGGGCAGGCTTACCCAACCCGGCTCTGCCCAGAACAAGAGCTGATAACAGGACACAAAATCAACAGCACAGCCTGTTCCTCCAAGCAAACGCCACCTACTGACAGGACGGCTCTTGCACAGCCTTTCACAGCACCTGACTCAATATACAGGGAGTGGTCCAATCTCACCGACAGACACACCTAATGCCTCAGAAACTAAACAAGGTGTGTGAATACCCAAACAATAAACTAAAGGAAGAAACAAAACTGATCGACATGGGAAGAAATCAGCGAAAGAACTCAGGAAATATGAAGACCAAACGGAAACACACCCCCAAAGAGGAGCACCAGCCTAGAAACAGACACCAACCCAAATCAGGCAACCAAAATGACAGAAGGGAATTTCGTATGTGGATCATAGAAACACTCACCGAGCTGCAACAACACTCAATAACCAACAAAGAACCACACAAAAGTCTCCAGGATCTGGAAAAAGAATGGACACAATGAAGAAAAGGTTAACCGAACTCCTGGAAATGAAGAATCAATTCGGGGAACTACAAAAAACAGTGGAAAGTCTCATGAACAGGGTAGATCAAACAGAAGAAAGAATCTCAGAGATTGAAGATAAACCCCCAACTAAATAAACCGTCACAGAGATAGAGCAAGAAACAAAGGAAAGAGCAAAGCCTACAAGAGCTGTGGGATTATGTGAAGAAACCTAATGTAAGGTCAAGGGTTACAGAAGGGGAAGAGGACAACACCCAAGGGTTGGACAAGCTATTTGAAGATATACTAGAGGAAAATTTCCCAAGCCTTGCTCAAAATCTCGATATACAAGTTCAAGAAGCTCA